TTGTCGACGGGTGACGTGGAGTCACTTCTGTGACATAGGGAATCAGCAGCCGTTGAGGCTTATCTGCGGGTGACGTGGAGTCGTAATGATGACCATAGATGGTAAAATAATGCTGGGAAGTAATGTTCTAACTCGCCTCCGGGGGAAGTGTCGGCCTGTTGCTGAGCAGCAATCTTTCGCCCGACTGAGTCCGCCTTTCGAGTCGTCTTTGGGGAGCGACGCCGGCTCGACTGGGTCCATTCTCAGGATAACATATTTGTAAGTAACAAGGAACACTCCATAACAAAACTCATCTCATCTCATCATTTCAAATCACTCACATCATCCTATAAGATGGTGATAACTTATCTCATCCCATTAACATTTTATTTCCACCCATTTCCTCACAAAAAGCTAGGAAAATGATTTCCTTAAGTGTGAGTCACATCATTCAATAATATAATGACAACTCATCTCATCTAGTTTATTTTCTTATTTTTAAGAATGAACCAAAAAAAAGAAAATAACCTATTACAAGAAATAAGTTTCTTATAATTCATTTCCTTATTTTTTTCGCCAACCAAACAACATCAAGACAAGTTTTCTTAAAATATCACTCACATCATCCAATAATAAGGTGACAACTAACATCATCCCATCTCCATTTCTTTGATTTCCTTCTTTTTTAAGCCAACCAAACATTCCCAAAACAATTTTTTTTAGAAATAGTTTTCCATTTCTTTGATTTCCCTCTTTCTTAGGCAAACAAACAGCCCTTAAATAGTAAGCTAACTGGGATGAACTGTAGCTAAGCACTGTTCATCTTAGTTGACTTTAGTGTGCATATATGAAAGGGCTCAGCTTGCAATGACATGTAAGACTACAAGGATTAATTTATGAACTCTAGAGGCTTGTTCCACTTAACGCCCTGAATTTTTTTAATCTCATTAAACCCTACTGAACTTTCGGGTGTCTCATAAAACCGCATAACATTTAAGCTTTTCTCAATGAAGCCCTCATGTAGTTGGCAAGTTATAAAAATATACTTAATATAAATAAACAACTCTTAAATTGTGGAGATATTTTCCCTCTATAGAATATTTTAGTTATTTGCCAATTGCCACTTACAAGTTGGTAGTACATCAAGAAAAGTCTAAACATCAGGGGGTTATGTTGCAAACTCCCAAAGTTCAGGGGTTTTTATGAAAGCATTCTTTTCATAGACCAAAACTTGACCTCATGTGTTACGGGCCGAAATTTAGCCCACATAGCTTCATTTTGAGTGTGTAGCCTGTCAGATTTAAATCTGGATTGTTTTCGATATCATATTAAGATCTTTTCCATAGTACCAAGCTCCTCAATTGAGGGTTGTAATTTTAAAGAAATGAAACAGTCTTTGATCAAATACAAGACGGACATCTCTTTTTCCTTGCCACCAAGTCACCAACTCCAGAACTCAGCAAATTACACGCTTTAGTACCCTCCATCCAAAATACAACGCCCCACACATTTATTTTAACTTGTACATCAAAACCAAACCAAACCAAACCAACATCAGGTACTAATAACAACTCCCGGAGTTGCTACATCCACAATCCTCGGCTTCTTGTTAGTGATCATTGCAGCTCCTTTTCCTGCAGAAATCGAAGAAGGAAGAGGAGGATCGTAGGCAGAGTCATGGACGCCGAGAGCTGCTCTCCCCGACGGATCCAAATTGTTCGACCAGCGAGCGTCCCATTCGATAGCCTTCGCCGTGCTGCAAGCAATGCTTGGACCTCCAGGGACAGTCAATCTCGCCGAGTTCTAAAAAAAAAAAAAAGAAAAATGTTAAGAAGGCAACTTCCTGTAGTCATTTACACCCTCTAAACTATTTTTATCGGATATTTTTATATTGAAGTTTACTAATTAGTCTATTGGAGCTGATGATTTGTTGCTTTTAGGGTATTTCTGCAAATACTTTAAGGGGTATGTGTACAAAAAGCTCCTGTAGTTATTACCTGAGGGAAGAACCTTTCAAAGATCATTCTGTAGTAATAAGCCTCTTTTGTGGTTGGTGTGTTGTGGGGGTAAATACGTGCTGCATTCAGCATCATTCTATCAGTTACCTGTAAACAAAGGAAAAGGGAAAAACAACTTGTTAAAGATTCAAATAAACAAAGAAAAAAAAATCAATAAATTAGTTATTATGATGAGAAATTACATGTTTTGCAGCATGAGCCTTCAGCCCATCAATCCAACTATATCCAACACCATCACTGAACTGCTCCTTTTGCCTATAGAGAATATGCTGCAGAAATAATAAAATTAGAAGACTATAATTTGGTGTTATAAACTGATATAAGCCGAATAAGCACTCTAACCTTTGGAAGATAGGGATTCTCTTCATCATCAAAAGCTTTCCTCAGTACCCACTTCTCGATCCTCCCGAGATCAGGCTTAATCTGATCATAGTCTTACCAAAGTCAATTTCAATGTAAAATCTATAATGCAAATGAATATTTTAGCATACCATTTTCGATTCAGGATCTATACTCATAGCAACATCCATGAACTCCTTGTCTAAAAATGGCACTCGAGCTTCCAGCCCCCATGCTGATGTTGCTTTGTTGGCTCTGAGGCAGTCATACTGATGCAGAGCTTTGATCTATGTATGAGAACAAATGAGATTATAGTCTGAAACTAAATCTGACATTATATGCACAATATAAGTTTGTATACCTTTCGACATGTTTCGTGATGGAATTCTTCTTTGTTAGGTGCTTTGTGAAAATACAAGTACCCGCCAAAGATTTCATCCGAGCCTTCGCCTGAGATCACCATTTTTACTCCTAAGGACTTGATTTTTCTGGCCATGAGGAACATTGGAGTGCTTGCCCTGATTGTTGTCACATCGTACGTTTCAATGTGGAAGATTACATCCTCAATGGCATCAATTCCATCCTAAAAATTACAGAAAAAAGCAGAGTAAAGTGCTAGGATTAGTTTGCGCTTGCTTTTTATAGTGCACGGGCGAGGAAAAAAATCTAGCTCTTGATATATACCTGAACTGTGAAGTGAAACTCATGGTGGACAGTACCCAGATACTCTGCAACCTCTTTTGCAGCCTTGAGATCTGGTGATCCCTGCAAGAAAATTCAAATAATGACTAATTACCTTTGTTTTTGTGTGGAGAATTATGAGAACGGAATGAAAGAGCGCTGAAAAAAAAACCTCTAAGCCAACACAGAAAGAATGGAGCTGAGTTCCCCATTGCTCTGCAGCTTTACTTCCTGCAAGATGCCGAGCAGTAACAGCGGCGACCAACGAGGAATCGAGGCCACCAGATAACAGAACCCCAAATGGCACATCAGTCATCAGCCTCTTTATAACAGCCTGCACATAATCAGCAATGCAACTTCATCATAAGGATTACAGTGACCCTTAAGCTACAATTACAGTGCCACAACAGTACAGCTACAGACTTACATCCTCAAAAGCTTTCCTCAGAACAAGAGGATCATAGGGGGCCGAAGGGATAGTCTCATTGTACCACTGAGGATTATACCATCTTCTGAAGCTGCCTGATCTGCTTGAGTACAGGTTTCCAGGTGGAAATACTTCAAAATGTTCGCAGTCATCGTTTAATCCTTTCATTTCCGACGAGAGCCAAACAGAGCCTTGAACAAAAAACAGATTCAAAATTGTCAGAAAAAACGCCATAATGCACATAAAAAAAAAAGTAAAGATAAATATAGGTACCGTCTAATCCCCAGCCAATGTAGAGGGGGGTTATTCCCACTGCATCCCTTGCCGCAACGAAGCAATTGTTTCGGGTGTCCAATAGAACGAAGGAGAACATTCCATCCAACATATCGACGAAATCTTCTCCGTGTTCCTCATACTACGTGCCAAAATAAATCGAACGAAATTAGAAGAAACAGTCGAAACCTCTGTACACATGGCAATACAAAACGATTGACGAAAAGCTTGGTCACCAGATGAGCGATGACTTCACAGTCGCTTCCAGTTCTGTATTTATGATCAGGCAGGCGTCGCCTTAGCTCTTCGTGGTTGTAAATCTCTCCGTTTACCTGTTTAATTCAATCATATTAAAAAAAAAAACTGTTTCCTATGCTGACAAACTTTAAATTTTGGAAAATACGATTGGTCATGAATTATACCGTGACAACGATGGACTTGTCCTCGTTGTACAGGGGTTGATCACCAGAGGCGGGATCAATGATCGCCAATCTCTGATGAGACAAGAAACAATCTCCATGTTGGCAAAGCCCGCTCCAATCTGGGCCCCTGTGCTTCAACCTGTCACATAAACATCATTCAATCTCTCTATACTAATAAGTTTGTTATACAACCAAAAGTAAAAGGGAAAAAAGGTACTCCAATTACTAGACAACAATATACCTGAGCAAGTTTTGCTACACAGTAAGTGCCATAATCATCATAATTCTTAGATTTTAGTTACTTGTACTGAAAATTTTAGTTTTAGGGTCTGTTTGGTTGTTTTCCGGAAAAAAAAAAAGAAAATGTAAAACACACATTTCCAACCCAATTCAAAACATTTCAACACATTTCTCGCTTTTCCTTTTTTTCATTTGTTTCGTAAAGAAATCCTCGCCACGTCACATTTAAAGAAAACTCAACCGCAAAAGCAATAGTGTTTTCAGCAATTAAATAATCTTTTTTATTCTCAGTCGCCGTTTTAGCAGTGCTTTTAGTAATTAAAAATACTTTGAAGTGATATTTCCAAGTGTTTTCAGAGAGTTTTGGTCTGAAATGAGTTTTCTCAAAAATCTGACGTAACACCGTCATTTCTTTAAATCACAAAACGAAACAAACGTGTGATTTGAAAATCTGTTGAAACCAAAATCCTATGTGACGAGGATATGTTTCTTGAAATCATACGCGACGGGGGTTTTCTCATATTTTTAGCAAAAAAACACGCCCTTAAGCAAAAGAAAAAATAACTGGGCTCCACGTTGTTCCAGCTACATTAATTTTCAGCTTACTCGTTAAATTAATCATCATTTCATAATATTTAAAAAATTAATGTACGAGCGAAAAAAAGATAATTTTGACAAATGAGAGCGGAAACCACGTTGTGTTGTAAATATATTTGTTGTTCTAACTATTTTTAGCGAAACACTACTCTCATGCATAAACTAGTACGCTACAAGGTTGAGATTAATATTGCCTGCGAGAGAGCTCGAGAACTCGAACCCTCTTCGCCTGAGAGTCATCGGAGCAACCGAGCACTGCAAGTATCCCACACATGATCCTCTCTCTCTCTCTCTCTCTCTCTCCCTCTCTCTCAAAAGGTGCAAGCAGAGGTACTTTTTAGTGGAAGTGAGAATTAATATGCTGTCATAACTCAACAAAGCTCCCTATTTATAGGCCCAAACCCAAGCGGCTTCGGTCCTTCACGTCCTTAGACAACCGACACGTGTCGGTGGTGTGCCGGACAGCGATTCACCCCGCCGTATCCCACACATGATCCTCTCTCTCTCTCTCTCTCTCTCTCCCTCTCTCTCAAAAGGTGCAAGCAGAGGTACTTTTTAGTGGAAGTGAGAATTAATATGCTGTCATAACTCAACAAAGCTCCCTATTTATAGGCCCAAACCCAAGCGGCTTCGGTCCTTCACGTCCTTAGACAACCGACACGTGTCGGTGGTGTGCCGGACAGCGATTCACCCCGCCGGTACGATCCAATAGTAAAAGGAAGCCGAGGATCAGCGACGCTATCCTGTTCGACACCGAGGTATGACTCAGCTGGGCCCCACCGCAGCGGTGAACAAGAACCGGTCAGTTGCGGTTGGAGCGGTACACGTGTCCCCGCCCATCTATCCAAGCACTTCAACAGTCAACACGTGGCCCGGACATGGGCTGTTTGTGGATAAGAGCGTGGAATATTGAAGGAAGTCTCAATTGTTTATACTCTTTATTTTTTTATTGTTTTTTAAATATCTCTTTCCACCTTTCTTGGTTTGATAAGTTTCTATTTCGTCTGATATGCTGATTCTTGTCTGAGTATTCAATGTTATCCTGGATGGATGAAGATATTATCGTTGCATATAATAATATTAGTGCGCACATCGTGCAATAATATTACAGTATCTCTTTCCACATCGTGTAAAACATGGCCCTCTTTTTTATTTTTGTCACAATAACGTTTTTAAAGGTTACAGTAATTTTTTGAATATTATAATAATATTTTTAAAAATACTACAGTATTTTATTTTGTGCTATATGTTGGATTTAATCTAACAAATCTATTTGTGGGCACATATGATTAATCAATGTGTATTGCTATCTTTCAGGATAACCCACTAAAGTGATCAATTAAGTTGGGTTAATTTGGTATTTAAATAAGTCATGGGGTTATATGTGCAGATACCAGGTTGTAATTGTAATTTATTGATGGGCTAAATTATAAAAGTACAACATCTATAAATAAGGGGTTATGGTCCCTAATCTAGGGTTACTACATTCTCTAATTCTCTTCACCCCCATCTAAGAGAGAAATTCGGTTTTAGAGAAACCCTAAGGTTAGAAGATCCAAAACCCAAAATCAAGATCAAGCAATGGATTCAGGTATAAGCTTCCGCTCTTTTTTTGGATCCTTGTTAATCTCTTTGAATTAATCATGGCTATATGGTTTTAGATCTCAAGTTTATGATGTAGATCTAACAAGTGGTATCAGAGTCACCTTGATTAATTCTTAGGGATTTAAGTTTTATTGGGTTTTTTGATCTTAAATCTCTTGTTAAAGATTCAATTTTTTGTTCTCGGATGAACAGTAATGTTCGGTGAACAGTTGCGAATTTTTTTTTTCGGATGAACAGTAAAGTTTTTTCGGATGAACAGTAACTGAAAAAATCGCCGGTGAAACAGTAACTTTTTGGAATTTTCTTTGATTTTTTCTTCAAATTTTTCCAATTCTGGATCTGTTTTGAAAATAAAAATCAAAGATTTTTGGGTTTGACGGCGGCGGTTTCAGTTTGAAACCCTAAGGGTTCATGGAGAAAATTGAGGAGGTGGTTACCTCAAACGAACCTCGCGTTCGTTTCCAAGGATGAACTCTGTGTTCAATTTTTAACGAACTTTGCGTTCGTTCTCAGGTTGAACTCTGCGTTCCTTTTTTAACGAACTTTGCGTTCGTTCTCAGGTTGAACTCTGCGTTCATTTTTTAACGAACTTTGCGTTCGATTTACTTTAGAGTTTTGGAAGAGTTTGCAGGCGAGTCTAGGGACCAGTCTCAGTTTCAGCACAGCTTATCATCCCCAGATTGATGGGTAGTCAGAGAGGACCATTCGGATTTTGGAGGATATGCTCAGAGCTTGTTTGCTTGACTACCACAGGTCGTGGGAAGATCACTTGCATTTGGTGGAGTTTGCATACAACAATAGCTTCTAGGCAAGCATTAGGATGGCCCCTTTTGTAGCATTGTATGGGAGGAAGTGCCGCTCTCCTTTGAGTTAGGACGATGTTGGTGAGCGGGAGATTTTTGTACCAGAGTTGATTAACAAATCAGTTGATGCAGTCAGGATCATTCGGGAGCGACTTCACAGAGCACAGGACAGATTCAAGCATTGGACAGACATGAAGCGCCGGCACTTAGAGTTTTAACCAGGAGATCATGTATTCCTGAAGATTTCCCCCAATCGAGGCACCATTCACTTTGGGAGGCGTGCGAAGCTAAATCCGCGATATGTGGGACCTTTCGACGTATTAGAGAGAGTGGGAGAAGTGGCGTACCGACTTGAATTACCACCCGCCCTGGCTGGAGTGCATAACGTATTCCACGTTTCTCAGTTGTGAAAATACGTTAGAGATCCGAGTCATGTCGTAGATTTCTCAGAGATTAAGGTGCGATCTGATTTTATATACATGAAGCAGCCAGTGGTGATTCTGGACCGAAGGGAGAAGACCCTCCGGAACAAGACCGTCTCGCTTGTTCGTGTGATGTGGTACCCAGATTCTCCTAGAGAGTCGACTTGGGAAACTGAGTCTGAGATGCGGCAGCGATACCCTTATTTATTTTCTGAATCTTAGCTGTTATGTCTTGTATTTTATTTTAAATTGCCTTGTATGACTTTTCTCATTTACGGATATGTAATATATTTTGAACCTTATATGAGTTGAATTTAATCTATCTTTATATTTCGTCCTTATTATTTTAATTCCCAGGACGGAATTTGTTTTAAGGGGAGTAGGATGTAATGACTGTAAACTTTAATACTAGTTAAAAAAGTTTTCTATTATTTTTAAATATTTAATTATTATTTTTAGAAGAGTATTCGTATTTTTGTTAATTTTCTACAATTTTCTATAATTTAAAATCCAAATTCTATATTTATATAAATGATTTTAATATCTATAAATTTATTTTGAGCGGTAAAAATTTTTTGAAATTAATCTGTTGTATTATCGGTACTATTATGTATTATTTTAAATAATACGTTGTATTATTATTACTGTTACATATTATTTTGTTTATTATGTTGAATTATTAATTATGTATTATTTGTGTAAATTATTGTATTATTTTAATTATTACGTATCAACTGTTGTATTAGCACAACTGGTATGTTTTTCTGTGTATATAATTATCTCTAATTATTTTATTTTAAATATAAGTAATTATATTTTTTATAATTAATCTTGTTTAATTGTATAATTTATAGTATTGTTTCTTCAGTTTCGTATCAACTGTTATATTAACTCAACAGGTACGTTTTTATTTGTAGATAATTATTCTATAATTATTTTAATTTTTAAATATCAGTATTCATTTATTTTAATTAATTTTTGTTTAATTTATTCATAAACCCTAACCATAATTACAATCCTATATATAATACCCTCTCTCCTCTCTCCTGTTCAAAAAAAAAGTTTCAGCCGTCGTCCCCTATACTCTCTCTCTCTTTCTCTCTTCTTCTCTCTCAAATCTCAACCCTCTCCCATCTCCGGCCACCGCAACCAAAGCTCGCCACCTCCGTCGAAAACCTAACTTAGCCGCTTCAATTCGCTGCGATTCCGTCGAACACCCGACATCCGCAAGCCTCGTCCGGCGAGCATCTCAGGACCGACTACGCCCTCGCCCATCGTCTTGATCCCCCAACACTAAAGGCTTCCACTGCGAGTCGCCACCGCTGAGTCCACGCCGCCGACCCTAACCGACACGAACTTCCGATGCCAAGCAGGTCGCCCTCCCTCCATCATCCTCACGCCGACGACCGCTTAGACCACCCCTCAACTCCAGCCTCGTTGCCTAGTTTGTCGCCAGGGCGCCGTCGAGACCCCTTGACCGCCATCGTCCGACGCCCAATCGGCGTGCGTGGCCGCAGCCCATCTCTGACACCTCCACTGCCGACCGACTCACGACTTCGCACGCCCCTCACTCCCACGAGATCTCAACCTCACGCGAGTCGATCGCCAAACACACCCCTGCTAGCTCTCCCCATCGCTAGACAGCCATCGGCCGGCGCTCTTGACCCGACATCGTACCCCCACGTCGGATCTAATCTCGCACGTCGATGTCGACACGTTCGACAAATACACCGAGGCAAGAACTCGCGTTTACCCTTGTTTCTTAATTAATGGTTAATATCGTGTTATTATGATAATTAGATGTAGATAAATTATTCTGTGGTTAATATTGTTGTTAATATGACTATTACATGTAGTTAAAGTATTATTATGGTTTATATGCATTGTGAATATCCGTGTGGAATGATGATTGCGAGCGTACAGTGAAAATAAGATTAACAATGTTGTTAATCATATTTTTAAGAAATTTCGGACATGAAATGATAAGTCATGTGTTAAAATTAGAATTTGTGAAATTTTATCGAAAAGAAATTAATTAAGGAAATTTTATAAAATAGAAAATATTACTTTTCATGCAGAAAGGAATTTATATATATATATATATTACATAAATATTTTTATTTTAAGTTAGTTATAATAAGAATAGTTTCAAAGAATAAATTTGGAAAAGAATGTTATTATTTATGATAGTATGACTGATTGTCGTAGAGCGCGACATTTCATGTGTAAAACAACATCAGTTCCTAGTTTTCTTTTTATCGCATTATTATATTAGAGAATACCTAAGTACAGATAAGTTGTATGTGAAGTTTGGATATTCCAGACGTGATGAAGTTCCTTATGTATGTATTCATGTTGTGGTATTTGTTTATGCATTTCATATTCTTTATAATTCTCATTTCTGCTTCATAAACCTACTTAATCATGTTTAACATGCTATACTATATTCATGATCTGTTGATGTGTTGAGAGCCATAGTAGTTCATGATTTAATAGCCTTGTGCATCATGAACAGACTTAGTGACA